CTATCTCAAGCATTGCTTGGTCGAATGTAAGGCGTTCCAATTCGGATTGCGCAGCGAGCTGACGAGCATCATTGTCATACTCGCCGAGTAGTACCTTAACAAGGTCTTCGTAACGCATATGCGGATGAGAGTTTTCGAGGAAAAATTCCCGTGCAGGTCCCGAAAAAAAGTTCACGAGGAATTTCGTTTTTTGCTCGACTGACAATTCAAACTGGTGTGAGCAGACTTCATAGTAACGAAGTGTGTTTCGTATGCACTGTGACTTTTCACCGCTAAAGTAGGTGTCTCTGAAGGACATACTAACTGAAGTGTCCTTCTTAGAGCTGTCGGTAGTCGGATACCGATTCAGAATTGGCGTTTGTAGAGCAGGGTCCTATGTGAGCGTTTGCTGTCCAGCTCCGGACGGGAACCGTGTCTGTGGGGTAATGCGATTCGCATAGATTTTATCGATGTTTGTAGCCGAGACAGAGCGGCAGAGGCAGCTGTATTTGGGCCTTGGGTTTTGGCGGTTGCAGTAGCAGTTATGTGTCTCGCCAGGACTGGGGCAGAACTCGGTGCCGTCACAGGCTCAAACGGAAGACGGGCATCGCGTGATTCTCGGAAGGCTATAATGCGCTTCGCAACGTTCGGACTCTTGTCATAAACAGCAGCAAGCCAGATATAAGCCATGGCTTATATTTGGCCTGCTACTGATTACTCTTATGCATAATAGTAGGATTGCTGCGAAGGGAATATTGACTAGGTCGATAACAAGATTATTGAGTTTGTAAGCAGTGGAAACACTTGAAACTTCTCGAAGGAGCACTAAGCCGTAGCTACCTCTGTCGAGGGTTTCGCGAGTAAAGACTGTGTGTTGCGCCGGAAGCATTGCTGAAATATCCATTGCTGAAATATCCATTTCGATGTTTGCTGTGTTATGTGATCCATCAACAGGGTTGAACTCGAGCATGTACTGTACGATTTCTTTGAAGACAGACGCAGTGTCATTCCGAGGTTGAACGCGGTCCACCCGCTTAACAAGACGATCGTACGAAATTTGTCGCGCGTTGCTCGAAGATCGAGCCATGAGTGAAACTCGAATCCGGATTAATGGTTTCTAGTCCTAGCGGCAAGACTATGCTTCGGCAAGCGTGCGAAAAGTAGCGAGGGATCGTGCGTAGCGAATGGGACTGAGGGATAGAGTGTGTAGGGGGGAGAACGGGGGTGGCAAATAAGGTAGACATCTACCTTCTCAAAGCGTATCACAATCAATTGCGATGGCTTTTTACTGTTGAATTGCAACTTCTCTGTCCTCTACCCCCGGATCGTCCCCGGACGTAACCGCTACAACAGTATCACCTAAGTAGAACACATAACACAGTAAACCTAGCGAGCGAACTCCCAAGCGAGCTCGCGGGGTTGCGAATCTCTACTGTAATTAGTTCCCTATGGGGCACTTCCCGAAAAACTAGGCATGGAAAAATGATAAGTAGCGTTTTGGTGTACTTTAAGACCTCTGACCTCTTAAAGTACACCAATACACTACTGCACCTGCCCCTCCGCCCTGGAGACGCAGCTCAGAGTCTCCAAACCTTACTATCACAATAGAAACACTAGGAGGGGCAGAGCGCGAGAGTTTCTCCCCGGTTAATGGATAAAGTCTCGCACTTCGTAGAGCCAACACTGGGCAATGCTGCTCTGTAGACCAAGACCAGACTAAAATCGATTTCCGCATCAAATGTGGGTACTGTACACTGTACAAGTCACCAGACCACGCGTGGCTGGCACCTCCTTTTCCAGGTGAGCAATTCCACGTGCGCCTCTGAGCGCTGCCATTCCCGTACAGCTCACCGGGGTCCAGCAGAAAGTTGCTGTGGATGCAACTCTTCCCCTACGTTGAACTGCAAGGAGTGGGATCACTGCCCGTTCAAGGGCCGCTGTATACAGTAGCGGTCGTCATACTGCTAAATGGATACTGAATTCCTGCTGACATCCAAAATTCTAATAGCCACAGAGCTCATTTGTGAGGGAGTCAATCATGCTGGGACTCTCATGAGGACTTTGTTGCTGTTATGAGAAGGGTTGTACAGCATCGTACACTGCTGTACATGTACCGAAGAATAGAGCTCGCTACTGTACCACTGATCTGCAATCGAGATGACAGTTCTACAGTAGTACAGGGTGTATACTAACTTCTCTGGGGGGGTTTGGAAACACACATTGTTGCCAGGACACACAGACCAAGGCAGCTTCGACACAAGAGGCAACTGCAGCGACTCGTGTGTCGCTCCATCAAGCGACGTGAATGTTCGCATGGGCGAGCCGGCCCCTCCTCGCGTTAGACGCTTGCATCTCCCCTGCGTGAGAAAGCGCCTGAGGTACAACTACAATACCTGTAAACAATTCTTGTTGTCCGACCTGCTGTAGTCGCGCGGCACAGTCCACAAACGGCCGCCATATTTCCTATTCCCTTTTCAACTCCTCCGCGAGGACAAAATGTCGTACAGGCAAATCATAGCCCCACCCCACGAGAGCAAACCCTCCATCAACGGTAGCATTGCGCAATCGACCCAATTTTCTGGTTGCGTCGCTTTTTCCATGTGCGCGGTTGGTCTGTGCGTACGGCGCAGCAAGACTCTATCCATTCTGACTTGGGGGAGTATCCCAGAGTCACATCAGGATTCTAGGGCAAGGTCTGTCTCAGGATTTTGCCTGGCGCGCCACTGCCTTGTTGCCATTATACCTCACAATTTGGCTGTATGGGGATGGGAGCTACCCTCCGGAACTGGATTTCCGCGTGCGTTTCTCGCTCGAATTGTTTATGATGCGATAGCCTCTTTTCCAGGTCACAATGCATGACAGGGGGTACCCGCGGACTGCATCTCGAGAAAAGGGGGATGGGTCCAAAATGAAGGATGTACAGTATCTTCCATTACAATGAGGGTCGCCTGAATGGACGCGGGCATCCTACACCTCAATTGGGCTATTGATATGCACTTGTGTATCGGCTAGGTGTGCGGTATTTTGTTACTTATCGGTCAAACGTCACCGGTATCTTTAGCGGCCCTCTGTTCGTACTGCGTTCGAATTTGCCGATCGCCGACTGCGAATTCCATCCTTCATCGTCTTGCCTCGTTCTTAGCACGCGCGCTCGTTCATCGCACTCGTCGGGGGGATGTGCTACCCGCCACTGTATGAGTACACGACCGTATGCTGTGTATCGAGAGAAGGCCTGTCTGCTTGATTTCAGAATCCATCTGCTTCAGTCTAGACCGTTTGGTGGTCAGAATCTCGCGAGTGACTACTCGAATGCGCCCATGCGCCGTAGATGTCCAATACAGTATTATTCCATCATCTGCGAGATCTCCTACAGTAGTAGTAGCAGGCATGCTGCAAATGATGGCGAGACTTGGGGTTGTCGAAAGAGCAGCAGCTGCGGAGCGCCGCCTTCTGGACTTCCCTGGCGGTGAATCTCATGTTCAGGTCGTCGACAAAATCTCCCTCCAGATGAGTTTCAAGCTAATCGACATCATATTCTGCATCGGATGCCAAGGTCTAAAATGCCAGAAGCCACGCGGGGAACGACAGCGGACAGTCCTAAGTTACATGCCCTACCAGCGTGGCATTAGTTAGCGCGCGCGCGAAGCGCGAGCGTACTGGCCCTGCGAAACGAGGCACATGACACGGGCAGCGCCGCGGGAGCGAGAGGTCGACAAAGAGCGACACGGAGAGTTGGATGCGGATGCAGGCGGACATGGAGAGGCAGCAGCAGCGGCGTGGGGGGCGGCAGGGGGGGTTCGGTGTCGGAGGTCGACATGTTCGCCTAAGGCGTGGGCGTAGAGCAAGCGAGGGGGATGAGAGTGGCTGCAGTTCGGCACGGGTACCACGTAAGGGGAGGAGGGTCGCTCGCGAAGAGGGAACAGGACGCGGCATGCATAACGGGGCGGGCGCGAGATGGTATTTGTCTCGCTTTTGCAAAGGGCGCGTTCTAATTAACCGGCATGACTGGGACAGTCAAGTCTAATACTGCAGTCGCGAATTTCCCTGCTAGAACCGAAGCACGGGTCTGTAGTCTGCAGCTCAATCGGTGCAGTGCTCCCTTAGGGTCGCGAGTCGCCGCACCCGTGCAACGGGCTTTACGGGGCGAGGGGGAGGGAGACCGTGGCGGGCGGGTTGCGCAACGGTAGTGCCGGGATTCGCATCGTGAGAAGGCTCGCGGGGGCGGAGGACGCGAAGCTGTGCTGCTGGTCGAAGACTTGCGTAGTGGGCAAGGGGAGCCCGGTTAAGAGGGCGATCGTTAACTAGATGTACTGTTCGTGCTGCAATGAGAAGGAGTGCAATGTCGACGATCTCGCGCAGGTTGTGCAGACGCATGCTTACGGGTTTGATAATGCGAGAGAGTCATCCGTTGCGACTGCGATTGTTTGGTGAGAGGACGCAGAGGGATGGGGGAGGGGTAGGGCAGTGAGGTGGACTGCAATCTGAATCGTAATTTGACGAAATGTGGAAATTATTTATCTAATTGGCGAAATGTGCTTTTATTTTCACTAATCTTGGCGAAATGTGCGTTCATTTATTTTTCTAACCAAAATATTTCTGGCGAAATGGCGAAATGTTTTGGTTTCTTATCATAACACTAAAACCAATAAAATAAAAATGAGCGAATTCTTGCCTTCAACATCGAACACGGGTCTGTAGCTCAATTGGTAGAGTGCTCCCTTAGCATGGGAGAGGTACCGGGATCGAAGCCCGGCAGATCCATTATTTTTGTTGATTTCTCGTAGACTTGCTTCTCCACTGGTCAATCGCTGTCGCAAAACTAGCGGGGTCCCTTCCCTCTTCGCGTTTATCTCGAAGCTTATAAGTTCCGAAAGAAGAGGCGTTGGAGTGCCTCTTTGCATCCTGGCACGATCCGACCTGCGGCCGGTGCACAATTTTTTTTTCCTCACAGTCCTTGACGTGTGTGCCCTCCCTACACCGGCGATTCTCCTGTTTCCATTTTGTCCACGCTTCGCCCTGTGATGAAAGTTTATACAAGAACTGGCGATACGGGAAAGACCAGCTTATTCAACGGAGCGAGAGTCGCGAAGAATCATGCATTAATTGACGCCTAGTACGTGCATAGAAGTTATACGCGATTGCGATTTTCGATCTCCAATGAAGCCAAGTCTGACCTGTTGCGAAAACCCCTCTTTCTATGCATTCCATATTTCCCTCCCATCAGTGGAACAGTTGACGAATGCAATGCAGCCATTGGACTTGCCTGCTCTCACCTCGCTTCCCCAAACGCTCATCTCGCAGAAAATACCGAATCAGATTCCGAACGAAAGCTTGTTCTTTCCAGACTACACACCATCCAGAACTATCTCTTCGACTTGGGAGCTCATCTAGCGACCCCGCGATCCACTTCAAGTGACAACAAGATTGCCCGTACGCAGTTTTCCTCTAACGCCTCTACTCAACTAGAAGAATGGATAGATGCGATGGACAAAGATCTCGCTCCTCTAACTACCTTTGTACTTCCCGGAGGTCATCCCTCTGCTGCTGCCTTGCACCTTGCGCGGACGATCGCAAGGCGTGCTGAGCGCGCAGTGACCCCGCTCTTCGTTGATGGAGAGCAAGAGATCGACGAGTCTGCTTTTCAGTTCATCAATCGACTCTCGGATTACCTCTTCGTTGCGTCCAGATATGCGAACCAGATCATGGGCGTTCAGGATGTAACGTGGACAAAGGGAGCAAGGGGTGCCGATTCTGCAAAATAGTCAAAGACATGCACGGTGATCCTTTTTTCTTCTTCTGGCTAAACTTCGAGCTCGACTTTCCACCCCAACGATATCACTAAAAATAGTTAGCATACAGTGCTTCTCATATAGTACTTGACTACGTTGTGCAGAGTTCAGAGAAGTTATTGCAGCTTGTGGGCATGGAAACATCCTGTCGTGACAATCATTGGCGAGAGAAGTGGCGAGAGAGGTGTAAGGTTTGTCGCCGCTCACGTCAAGGTAATTGCATGGAAGACAGCGCGCGTATCAAGACAGAACGGAATCGCGATGCTCAGTCTTATTACGGACGTGGACAAATGATCACCACTCTGCAAGCATTCCTGAAATTTTATGCACCGCAAAAGTCTTCAAAGCCCCGCCCGTCTCTTGTGGCAATATAACGTAGATACTGTGTATTGATTAGGTTGTTTGACCCTAGTCACGGCGAAAGGAACAACTTCCGGAAAAAATGGCAGTCCGCCGAGAAGCCTGCTAGCTTGTCAGTTTTTGGTAGATGTAATGAGATAAACTCCACCGCTTGCCTTACTCGTAAAATAAATCTCACCGCCCGGACCTCGCCCAAACCGAACATCTGCTCTCTCCGCACCACCCAATCCAGGCTCTCTCCTGATGACGTCTCGCAAATTGTTCAATACCAGTGGCCGTGTCCTCTCGTTATCGTCATGATCAAAATAGATCTTCGCCTTATAAGTTGGTGCTTGCGTTAAACTGTTTGGTGGTCCAGTTGTTCTGGCCCTCCTCATGTCCGACAACAGTGAGTAATAAAGGGTCCCATCGGAAGGAAAATTTGCATATAGGAATGTGCCTGACAGAGGCGAGCCGTTTTCAACTGGGCAACTACCAGCGAGAGCTTGACCAACAAATCCCGCCCCTCGATTTCCCTCGTGCCCGACGATAACATTCGGGTAGATGTAGCCGTACTTGGCATCATCCCTAGGCAATGGTCCCACCCCATTCACTAATCCGCCAGATGCCTTGTGTACAAACGGCCCTTCTCGGAGAGACCAACCATAGTTCCCTCCGCTTTTCACGATATTTATTTCCTCGACATTGTCCCGTCCCGCATCTGTTACAAACAATTCTCCTCGCTTGCTGAAACATATATTGTGTGGATTTCGGAAGCCAACTGCCCAAAGTTCATTCTTATACTTCGCACTGTTCCTAAATGGGTTGCTACGGGGAACTGTGTAGGGTTGAGCTCCTTTTCGCACGGGATTGATGCGAAGAATCTTTCCAAGAGCGTCGTCTTTCTGGCCACCCCCAGCAATAGCCGATTGCACTGAGCCGTCGCCGTGAGAAATATACAAGAACGGCCCCTTGAATGCTAATTGCTTGATTGGATGGTCATATACGGGCATCCCAACTCGAAGCACTTCCCTGTAGCTGCTGGAGAGCACCTTTTTGTCCTTGAAACTGTACTTCCACTCTAGAAGCACACTGTCTGCGCGAATAAGTTTCGAGGTCCTGGAGAAATACCTGAATTTCGAAGGTGATTCTTTTCTTCTCTCCATCAAACTCGTGTACAGGAATCCATTCCTGTTGAAGTTCGGATGGAAGGCGACACTCCGCAAGCCGCCGTGGGCACTGGTGAAATCCATCTCACGTCCTTTCGCCTCACGCATCGCGCGGTTCACGTCAAAGAACAGTGAAACTTCCCCTCTCATGGAGACTTTGTATATGAGCCCGCCACTTGTGCCAGTGCAAACGTACAAACTGTCACCCCTGAATGTTAAGGATTGAAGTTTGGAAGGTCGACCGCTTGCATTATTAGGGATCTTAGCGAAGCGTCGGACGTGTACTTTCTTGTTCCCCTGTCGAATTGGAGTTCTAACGGGGTTATCAGCCGATACGGTAGCGAGAAGCAAGACGAAAGCCAAAACGAAAACTCGCTCCATTGTGAAACTTGCTTGCCAGAGTTGAAGCCCGCGGAGAAGAGGGCGGAAGGTGATTTATATAGCGACAAGTCAAGGGTCTACAACACCTTCTATGTCATGTTTTACCGCAAAGTTCAAGTACACCGGACGCATGGTACAATTTCTTTGAGACACAGAAGGTAGATCCATTCTGATTTGCCTGTAGGACAAACGAATAGACGATACACTGACGCTCAGCGGGAAAATTGACTAAACATTGAAGCGGAGGTTGGGGCATCCCTTGGATCTGAAGACCTCATTATTTTGTGAAGAAACACGTTCACATTACAACTTTTTCTCAATAGCCTCTCAAATCAAAATGTCATAGTCAAGTGACAGTAGCACATGACAATATGCAACGCACTGAGGACGAAAATCACTTGAATTTATAAGAGAGAGGTAAATTTATGCAAAGGTGGCGTGAATGCCGATTGTCATTCATTCCATTGCGAAATGCTTTCGTTCAACATCCAGGAAACAATGCAACGTAAATGAAGTTGCTGTTCGCTATGCTCTCATCCCACATTCATTAAAAAATCCACCGAGGCATGTAGAGCAGACCTGTGGAAAGATCAATGTGTGGAAGCCATTGACCTCCAGCAGACATTTCGACGAAGTATCGACACGGATATACGCAAAGCGGTCTACATCGAACGATACAACACGACTATCTCCTGTTCGCAATCCTATAAGATGCATGGCATGCAACAAGTGCCTTCTGATAACCGTATCGCCTCTTAAACTTCTCTTTTTCGGTCGCAGATAAATCAGAAGTGGAAGTAGAAAAGGCACAAACAGAAAGATTACAGTGAGGGAGATGACGGGTTCTTCAGAGCGAAGTGATTTACCATTTGCTGCAGCCCTCTACCAATGACAACTAGTATTCAATTCTCATAGCTGCTGGGCGACGAAATATAAAGGATGAGATAGGATTATATAAAGAGACCTTCGCATGCCTGCTAGTGTCCTGCCAGCGAATTCATCACACACGCCGGCATAAGTTTTGGATGTCTTGAGATATCAGCTTCATTTGCATAAAATGCTGCTGGCGGTATTGCATCTGATAGGCAAAAGGCGTGTTCAGATATTCACACGCGAATATTGTCATAGATATGCAGCAAATGTGGTGCACTTGGTGCCAACCGGTACGGCATCGGTTAGAGTACAGTGCCCTTAGGGTACAGTATCTGATCTGGTTTGGACGGGACCGCGGTTAGCACATTTCGGTCGCAAGGACAACCCTCTGCTCTCGTTTAATGGTACTGTACCAAAACATATGTATGAGGGGGTGTGGGCAACAGCAAGTCCCAGGCAGTTGGAAGGACCGGAAAGTAAAAAAGCAACGGTGATTTGACCTGGTTGCGCAACTTGGGGGTGCCCCCATGACCAGAATTGGATGACAGTGGAATGGATGATGAAATCAGAAATAAGTCGGATTATGAAGGGAAGTTGACCGAAACAAGGATTGTCGGCCATGTTTGGGCTGGCAGGATTGTGACTGGGAATGCTGGTGAGAGTTGCAGGCGGAGTGGTGTCCGCAGGGCCTTGACTAGTTGTCTTGTTGTGGTGGAGCCGAACATCCTGGACGGAGCGATGCACTCGAGTCGCGCGCACCGTACTCTTCAAACTGTATCGTCTCATTTCTCATACTGTCAAGAATTGTACCTGAACTTCACGGCTTAATATTCACCAGTGATGCATGCAGTTGTGGCACATCAGTGACGCTTTGTTTCACTGTATCGCGTCCGTTAAAAAAGGCTTCTGAAATCCTGCCAAACAGTATCGCGGCTCCTGCTGGCACTGTACAGTACTTTAAAGTACACCAGTCCAATGCTTACACCAACCGTTTGCCGTACCGAGGGCCTTTGCAATGATGCACTTCCTTTCTGTGTCCTTCATTACCCTGGTCTCAAGAGGATGTCCGCCTACATACTTCAGGTCTTTACAGTTGCCGTCTATGACTTCGCATTCTCTCTCACCTCATCAGGCCTCTCCGGTAACTTGTCGGTCGAAACAATGGGTGTGGGCGAATGGAACGCTTTGGGTTAATGGATGGCACAAGAGCTGTAATTTGGAAGCCTGCTCTCTGCATTGCAGCCACAAACAATTTACACCCGGTCGGCCTCAGGCATTGCATAGCGGAGGGCAAAGCCTCAAATAATTGTCCCACCCGATATAGTCTACTCCCTCCCTTGCGGCTACTCGAGTACAGTACCCTTCCCTGCTATCACCTACCCTTCGAATGGTAGACACAGGTTCGGACACGGAGCTTGCAAACATTGTCTCGCAACCAGTGACAATGCATATTCCCTCCTGCTCCAATCAGTGCCCGAGTTTCAGCGCACAGTAAAGGAAGCATTTCTCATGGTTCCCAGAAGGACGAGAATATGAGAAATATCCAACCAATCGAAACCAGTACGTATGATCTTGCGCTGTGTGCAAGAGTACGGGAAATTCGAGACCATCAATTGTTGGGCTCTCCTCCTAGTTGTCATACCCCAATTGATGGACTCCAAATGTCGCAAAATAGAGAAAAAACAGAAAAGTTAACCGGCAGGACCGGGCGAGTTGAGGGGTCGCGTCTTTTTTACTGTGGGTTCTTCTTGTGCTCGTGCGTGTCCGGGTAGCTATTCTGCCCTGCGCCTCTGGGTATTTATACTACTTCCTCTTGCCCATCCCGACCCCCTTTGACTCTCGTACGTGCAATCCTCTGCTGATAATCGCAGAGAATTGCATTATCAGTAGACTTGCTGGGAGAGGATGTGCACTGTGTTCGGACTGGTGATGTCTAATTTAATTCTGCCCACATTTTAAGCCTTAATAGTGCTCTACGTGCATTAAACGGAATGTGTACGTCACCGGCATGTGGCAGTTTTTTCACACCAAAGGGTCAAAATCGCAGGTTTTTGTGGAAATTGATGGCCATTTTTGAGCTATTCCCAGCACTCTGCCCTTTTGTATCGCTGCAGGGGGTTCTATGGGAATCTACAGAAACACCAATACGCAGCGACAAGCCTCCACAATCCAACACAGCCTGTCCAGTTCACTGTAATTCCTGGGCGTAACGCTACGTGACGTGGTCATAACCAGAACTGGGAGTGCAGGGCTCAAAGCACGTCAATTATATGCTACAGAGCACATCGCACAAACAGCAATTGTGCACTGGTGCCTTCTTCAGCTTGCATGTTCCAACACTCCAGACGATGGAACAGACACAAAAAAACAGATCAGCCCTCGCGCGTGCATTAGATCTCCCCTTCGGATCCCCGCGTGCCACTACTTTCTTGCACCTTGTACAGGATTCTCGTTGTATGCAAGGTAAAAACAAAGCTAAATTTACGTCTCAGACCGCGTATTGAGCCATGCCAGGGCCCTGATGAGGCGATTGCCGCTGATCGAGACTGATCAAATCAATATAATATGAATTCCGCAAACATTAAAATGAACTCGTACATTTGCACATGAACCCAGACGCAAGGTGCAACAGGCACTCGTCATCTCAAGTTAAGTTAGTTGTGCGCAGACCCTCTCAATTTGAGCTGCTGATTCCGTGTTGTATGCTTATTTTAGTGTTCCTAATTTCTTATCGGAGCCATCCCACTTGTCTTGTTCATTTGGTGTATAGGGTAGTGAGCAGAGAATTTGATCGTGAGAGTCGATAGCAGCGGCACCGGAAGGCGACAAGCCGACACGCACCGGAGTCTGTCGCCAGGGCAGCGGTCGGACCACGCTTGGCGAGCACGACAGAAAAAAGAAAAAGAACGACGGTTGGGGAGGCGTTCACCAGCACGGCCTTTCGCGGAGGTGCAAAGAAGTGAGACGCGCGGGTAGGGGGTGTCATGCGTCCCTAGCGAAGGCGGCAATCTCTCCGTCGAGCCCGGGTTCGTGTCCCTTCGCGGCGACTTGCACGGAGTGCGGCTCGGGGCCGTCGAAGCAGTGGTGGTCGCGGGGCTCCTGCGCCGCGATGTGCTCTGCGACTTGGAGTGAGGTCGCGAGGTCGTGTTCGGGCGGGGGCTGGGCGTGCCTCTTTAGTATAATCACCCCCAACGACAAGGGGAGTGAGTACTGACAGTTCGGAAAGACCCCGATCGGCGGGAAGATAGAAGCACGGCCCACCCACGGTACCGAGCACGGGCTCGAGGTAGCGGTGGTAGAGCGGGATCGGCAAGGACACGCGCACGCGCGAACGGTTCTACGCCTCGACGCCCGGGAGCGGTACTGGGTGACGATCCAGTACCGACGGGCGGAGGCCGAGCCGGCTCGTGCGCGTGCTGCGCGCGTCCTTAACCCGCGCGCGGTGCTCCTTCTAGGTAAAACGGACGGAAATACCTCAGAGTAAGCGGGCAGACCAAGCTACAGGATCCTTGACAAGTCCGTGCTTGTCGTCCTCCACCGCCGGCGGTCCGCTCATATTTAATGTACATTGTAGTCTATCATAACTCTGCAGTAGTGCCGGTCTACCGACACTGCAACGCTGTCAGCCGGCGGGGCTGACGGTCCACGTGTAGTACGCGTCGCGTACACGTGGAGGACACGTGTGTGCGCGCATCTGTAAGGCTCGTTGCCTTACTGTTCCTGATCCAATCCTAATCTAATTTCCGTTTGGGGTTATACCACATCACCCCCCCCTCAAGAGTGAACGTCCACATTCACTCCTGAGGCTTGTAGAACCTGTCCGTCCCACTCCCTGAACCCCGAGCAGATCCGACCTGGTATACGAATTTCCTCCCCTTTGCGCACTGTCCCGCTCCGTCCTTGACATCTCCATTTGGTCGTCCCCTCTCGCGTCGCCGCCCGTGTCAGCATGGCCGACCCGCGGTCTATTCCTCTCCCGCAGTCACCCCCGGGCGTCGTGAAGCCAACGATGGCGGAGGCGGTGGTCGTCGGGACCCCGCCGACGAGCGGGCTGGGACTCCCAGGTGCGTCATCCGGACCGCGAGAGGATGGCGTCGTCCTGGCCCAAGCGGGCCCGCTCCCTCCGC